GGACAAGAAGGAGGGCAAATACGACATGGGCATCCTAGGTAAGGAGGAAGAGGGGTGGCCAGAGCTGTCCTGAGTGCACACCTGAGGTTCCCTGTTCCTCCCTGTGCTGAGTGATGGCAGAGCCAGGCACAGCTCAGGTGTTGAGACTCTTGGTGGCAGGGGCAGCTCTGTCTCACAGCAGTCTTCCCTCCTACAGATTTAGCCCCAGGAGTGGATGAGATCTATGAGGAGAGCAAGGAGGTGTTCCTGACCCCTGGGCACCCGCAGGATGGGCAGGTTGTGTTCTACAAGGTAGGCAGCCAGCACAGCCATCAGCAGGCTTCTCCAGTGCTTCCCAGTCTGGGGATGGGAGCTACTGGGTCCCTCCCTCTGCCCCGTGGCTTTGTGTCATGTCTGTGTCACATCTGCCTCGGTCACGAGCATGTGAGTGATGCTGGGAGCTACACAGAGGAGACAAGGAGGGCCCCCAAGGCTTGGGGCTGCCATAGCCAAGAGGGCAGCCTTGCAGTGCCTCATCCTAGGCTGCAGCAGCACCACATCCGTGTTGAGGGTGGCATTTTGAAGCACTTGTCCCACCCCCTGGAGTTACAGAGTCCCTCTGCTTGTCCCTGTTCAGATCAGTGTCGACAGAGGCTTAAAGTGGGAGGAAGCTTATGAGAAGTCCCTCAAACTGACAGGATCCTTCGATGGGTTCTACCTCTCCTACAAGGTAGGTGCCTGGGCTGTGCAGTTTGGAAGGTGACCCATGGGGAGGCGGGCTGCATGGCTGTAAGAGGTCTATGTCCAAGCTCTTCCTGGGGGCTCAGCGATGCCTCCAAGAGCCTCCCTCCTGGATGGGCTGGGGTTGGTTTAGCCTTGGGGAGGGAGGCTGTGGCTGCAAGCATCCGCTCTGCCCCACCAGATGCGAGGCTGCAAGCACACCTGCCTGCTGGCAGAGCAGAGCCGGGGGAAGAACTTCATCCTCTACAAGCCCAACATTGGGAAGCAAAGCCAGCCGGAGAGCCTGGACAGCCTGCAGAAGAAGTACCGGCGGGTAGGTGGCACCTGCAGCTCCCCACTGTGGGGACAGGGAAAAGCCTCTTTCTATGGCCAGGGGTTGGTTTTGGAAGCACGTTCACTGCAAGCTCTTCCCAGCTCCTCCTGTTGTGGGGTGGGCAGAGGCAGCGGTGGCACCCCGGTGTCCTGACTCCCAGCCTCAGCTGCCTGTTGGACAGTGGGAAGAGCTCTAATGCTGTGTGTTCCTGCTGCAGGTGCTGCCCGAGGAGGCCAAGGAGCACTGGGAGAGCAGTTACCACTTCTCCTTGAAGAAATGCAACCACGCTGCCTGGTAAGGAACCTGCAGCCCTGGGCTGTCCCCAGGGTGGGAGAAAGGGTGTTGGTTATGGGGCAGGGCTGCGCTTGGGGGGGTCCTGCTCTGCTGCAGGGACCAGGGCTCATTCAGGTGGGTTTCTCCCTTGGGAACCAAAGGAACAGGAGCTGCAAGCTGATCCAGGAGGGGAAGGAATGCTTCCAGGGCATGCGCCTGCGCCATTACTACATGCTGTGCGGGGCCCTGCTGCGGGTCTGGAGCAGGATCGCCAGCATCATGGCAGACATCACCAACAGCAGCTACCTGCAGATCGTGCGCCTCAAGACCAAGGAGAAGAAGAAACAAGTCGGTGGGTGAAGGTGCCCATCCCTCCATCCTCACAGCCCCCATCCCTTCCCAAAGTGCTATGGGGGCTGATGCGTGTTCCTCCCTTAGGGATCAAGATCCCTGAGAGCTGCGTCCGCAAGGTGCTGGAGGAGCTGAAGCAGATGGATGAGAACGTGAAGCGAAAGCACAACCGGCTCCTCCAGGCCCAGGAGCAGAGCCCCCAGTTCTCCCTCCCACAGCACATCCTGGCACAGGCCCTGGACCTCACCCACGCAGGGCCTGGGATCTCCCTACCCCGGCACTCCCTGCGCCAGGATGAGATCCTGGACTTGACCTACAGCCCCCCCAGCAGCATCATTCCCGATATGGTGATGAACCCAGAGCCTGGTGCCTTGGGCTACCCCTCGGAGCCCGTTCTCCAGCTACACCAGCAGCACCGGTTGCCCTTCACCTTCAGTCACCCTCCTGCCTTCGAGAGCCAGGCCCCCATCCTGGAGGGGAGCGTGCCTCTGAGCTCCCCCCTGCACGAACACCTTCCTCTGCCTCCCGCAGGGCCCCTGCAGACGCTGCAGCAGCAGCAGCAGGAGGATTTCATCCAGCAGGATGGGAACATCAACTTCCGAGAGATCCTGGAGGACATGCTGAGGACGTTCAATGGGGCCCCCCAGGAGAACGTGCTCCCCCAGGAGCGCCAGAGCGTGATCCAGTTCAGTGGGCCTTTCCCAGACTTCTGAAAGCCAAATGGGAATGCCAACCCACGCTCTGGATCTGTATCCTTTGGTGCAGAGGTGAGAGCTGGGGAGCCCCCGGCTTTGCTGCTGGTTTGGACTTGACCCTTTCATGGTTTTGAGGGCAGAAAAGGAACTCTCTATAGCTCCTTCAAGCAAAGGTTATTTATCTGCACCGCGTGCTCGGCAGTGGCCAGGTTTGTGTGTAATGGGCCAGGGGTGGCCAGCACCGCCTCCTCCAGCTGCTCTGGTCCCTGCTGTGTCCGAGTCCTGCTCAAAGGTCAGTGCTGAGGAGCAGCGTCCCCTCCTCTGTCCCCCTGCAGACTACTGAGTGTCCGAGCTGGTTCCTGCCTTCCCCAGCACTGCGGCTGCTGCCCCTCAGCTCCGCTCCTCTGGGCTCCAAACCAGGCCAGGGCTGGGCCATTGCCTCCACTGACCAAACTGTATCTGTCCTGGCTGCTGCCCCAGCCTTGAGGCTGCTCTGGAGGGCTGGGTCTGAAGGCAGGGCTGTGGAAGGGAATGCTGTCCCCAAGGAGTGAGCATCCCCAGGTGTGAGAGCAGCAGCACTGACTGTGCTGCTCTGTCCTTCGGCTGTGGGGGCTCCAGGGGACAGGGCAGGAGCTGCTGCACCCCTGTCAGGGCTCAGCCTCCCTGGGGAGCAGGAGGGCTCCATCAGCCTGTCCTGCCTTGAGCCCTGCCAGGGCACCTTGGTGCTGCCGCCTCTGCAGGCCTTGTCTGTGGATCCAGCCCGGAGGGAAGAGCTCCCTGCTGAGCCCCAGGAATGTGCAGAGTCACTGCTGATGCTGCAGACTGAACCTCCAGTACCAAAGAGCAAAGCTCTGCTTTGCAAAGCACTGCCCCAGCCAGGAGCACCCACAGGCTGCAGCATCCCTGGTCCAGCAGCATCCCTGGTCCAGCAGCATCCCTGGTGCAGAGCATCCCAGCTCGGCACATCCCAGGGAAACTGCCTTCTGTTTTCTCCCTTGCACCTGAGGAGCCTGGCAGGAAGCTGCCTGCAGGCAGGAAGCCTTCCCTCTGCTCTTGCTGTGCTCTGCCTCCAGCCATCGAGGTATTTCCTAGTCGTGGCACCAGGATGTTTGCAGGGGAAGGACGTGAGAGCTTCCCTGGCTGGGCCATTTTTCAGGGGGAGCCCCTTTCTCTGTGCAGAGCACTGTGACCCCCCTGTTAAGGATCAAGCACTTCAAGGGAAGTGCTTTGGGTCTGTGCCTGCAGCATCCATGGGGCACTGCATTCCCTGCCATGTTACAAGCACCTGCCCCTTGTGATGCACGTGTGGGCTCATCCCTGAGGTTGCTCCTTATGTCCCCATCTTCCCCAGCCAGTCCCTGCCTCCTTGGAGCAGCCAGGGCTGCGGTTCCCTTTATGGCACCTCCTTTACCTCACAGCGACACCAAAGAGCCCTGGAGCTCCGGCTCTTCCCGCAGCTTTCCCTGCTCCCTCCCCATTCCCACCTCTATTTAAACTGCCCCGCACAGGCCCCGGCTCATCCACTCGGCGCTTGCTGAACTCTCAGCAAGGAGACAAAAGGGCTCCAGGAAACCCCACTTCAGAGAGGCTGAAACTCAGGAATAACGAGGAGGAATCCTCCCCCCCCCACCCCGGGGCCCCTCCGCCACCCGGAGGCTTTGCCATTGATATCCAAGATATGCAATTCCCTTTCCCTTTATCTCTGCGAAGCCAGAGAGCACCTTGGAGGAAGCCCTTCCCCTGCCCCGATCCTGTGTTTTTGTCAGGATTAAGATGTACCAATAGCTTTTAACTAAATTATTATGCAGTCGTCCTACTGATGGGCTCTGTTTTGCAAGGAGGCCCGTTTCTTCTGCCCCTCCACCTTTTTGTTAGCACTTTTTAACCCGCTTGTCGTTTGCCTTTGGTTTTCTATGTGTATTTATAATGGAGATGTATATATGTAAAGAGATTTCTTTTTTTTTTTTTTTAGAATATGTGCCTTTGACTAATAATTCCTGGATTTTCTACTTGCCTCCAAAGGAGTTTTTCATTCTGCTCAGTAAAAATGGAAAGGAAGCCACAGACGTGAGGTCTGTAAGTCCCAGCTCTCTCTCTATGTCCATCCACCTGGCCCAAGGGGCAGGATCCCCTCTAGGGCTTGGATAAGGATGTGCAATCTGAGGCCCAAGGGCTGGTTATCTCCCTGGTCACACGTGGTGGCTGCTGGGGACTTAGCCCCATGGGCAGAGGAGGATCCTCCCTGGCACTGCCTGTCCTTGAGGCTGCTCCCACCCCGATAAAGGAGCCGCTGTTGAGGCATTCACCAGCCCCAGCTGTTGTTGTCCAGCCCTGCTCTGTCCCTGTGGGATGGGGAGGAGCTGCAGGCAATGGGAACAGAGCAGGGATTCACACAACAGCACCGTGGTAGCTCCCCAAACCAGCCCCTGAGTGGTCAGGCAGGACCTGCAGCAGGGTCCTGCACCTCCCCTGCTCTGCTTGTCCCCACAGAGCCCCTTGGGAGAGCTGGGATTCGTGCGCAATTCCCTGCTCAGCCCTAAGGATTATCCTGGCTGAGCTCCGGCCCTTGCGCAAGGTCTCAGCTCTCCTGCAAAGCTCCAGGTCCTCCCAGCTCGGCCCCATTCACAGCTCACACCCAGACACAGGGATCAGTTCTAACACCTCTATTTATTATTGCAAGGGGACTCTGGGGTGCTGCTCTATGCCCAGCAGCGGCCACCGGCCCCGGGAAGCCTCCATCCAGCATCTGCACGCCTGGGTTCAGGTCTGCCTCACCAGCGAGCTGGCTTGAAGACAGGCCATCATCGGGGCTGGAGGAGGAGAATCCATGGGCAGCGGGAGGCAGGCGCTGGGCAGGGACAGGAGCAGACCTAGAGGTAGGCAGGGAGGTCCTTCTCGATCACCTGTAAGGGACAAGGGGAGCACTGTGCTGTGAGGACATCACTGCCCCAACACCGTGCCCAAAGCCCCCCCCCAGCCTCAGCCCAGGGGAGCACTGGGGGCTTCTTTTCCCCCAGACAAGCAGGGCTCAACCCCAGCTTCTTCCCCTCCTCCTGTGGGTCTGGCAGCACTTACTTGGGGATCCTCCATGGGGCTGTACCTCTTCACCACTTGGCCCTCCCGGTTAATGAGGAACTGTGGAGGGAAGCAGCACCCAGGGAGTTGGTGAACCTGAGGTCTGGCTGTGGCTGATCCAGCCTGCAGAGCCGTAGCCCCCCCCAGGAACCCCTTGGGCTGCTGCTACCCCAACAACCACACAGAGCAGAGCCTCGCATCCCCCCATAGACAGCGATGGATGGTGGCTGTGTCCTACCTTAGTGAAGTTCCACTTTATTGCACTAGGAGAGAAAAAACAGGAGTGAGATCAGGCAGAGCAAACCCCTTCCTCCCCATTCCCCTCACGCACTTGCCCAGGGTGCCTCGTCCTTTGGGCTGGTCCTTCATCCACTTCCAGAGCGGGTGAGCATCGTCCCCATTCACGTCGATCTTACTGAACATGTCAAACTTCACCCCGTAGCTCGCAGCAAATGCCTTGATCTGAGCGTTGTCCCCGGGTTCCTGCGAGGGGCAGCACAAGGGCTCGGTGTGAGCCCATCCCTGGTCACCCTTAAACCCCCGTTCAAAGCCCGCTCCCGCACCTACCTGCTTCCCAAACTGGTTGCAGGGAAAGCCGAGGATGCGTAAACCCCTCTCAGCGTATCGGGCGTGCAGGTCAACAAGCTGAGTGTAGTTTACCGGGGTCTTTCCTCATTTCGAAGCTACGTTGGTGATGATGCACACGTATCCCCTACGGGGGAGGCAGCGGCTCGGTGGCGGTGCCCCCACCCACCCACCCACCCACCCAGCGTTACACAATGACCGTCCCCGTGATGCGCAATCACCGCCGCCCTACCGGTACTGCTCCAGGGAGACGTCGTTGCCATCGATGTCCAAGGCGTGGAAGTCGTAGATGGCCTTGGCCGAGCGCCACTCCTGTGCCTGGGCGCACTGCGGAGCGCGAAGAGGCCCCGTTACCGCCCGCACCCCCCTGTACCGGCCCCGCTCCCGGCCTCCCGAGGTTGGATCTCGCCAGGCGAGCCCGAGGGCTCAGACCCCCCCCGCCTCTACCCTCAACCGTGAGGCCGCGGTCACGATCGCAGCCCGGCCCCTCCGCACTGACCATGCCCCGCACCGGTCCCGCTACCGCCGCCGCCGCGCCCCGCAGCGCGCTCCGCACCGCCTGACCCCATCCCATCGTGCGCCACCGCCCCCCTCCTCCCCGCAGGCCCTTAGCCAATGGGCGGCGCGGATTCACGGAGGCACCGCCTCTTTATGGCTACACAGCCAATCAGCACGAAGGAATCGGGGGAGGAGTCCGGCCGGATGGATGAGAGTGCAAAGCGGGAATCAGCGCGTTGGGCGAAACCATTGCTGTGGGGGGGAGGCACGGAACGAGTGGCGGACGGGGCGCGGAGCTGCGCTCGGAGCCGGGCCCCCCTTCCCTCCCGTTGGGTCGCTTCTGACCGGAGCGTCCTCCGCGACCTGTCCGGTGTGGGCCACGCACAACCGGAGAACCGGCGGCGAAGCAACGGTTCCTGTTCCTCCCCCCCGGAGCGGCGTGGAGCGGCCCGCAGGCGGACCAGCGTTCCCAGCATCCCCTGAGGTGAGGCCTCTGAGGTGAGGTCCCTGCGGTTGCCTCAGTGCCGGCTGTGGAGGCCGCGGCCGCGCCATGGACGACGAGGAGGAGACGTACCGGCTGTGGAAGATCCGCAAGACCGTCATGCAGGTGCGGGGGTGCTCTGTGCGGGACCCGGGACTGCGCTCCCGGCCGTGCCGGTGCCCGCAGTCCTTTAACCCTCCTCGCGGCCTCCGGCAGCTCTGCCACGACCGCGGGTACCTGGTGACCCAGGACGAGCTGGACCAGACGCTGGAGGAGTTCAAGGCGCAGTTCGGGGACAAACCCAGCGAGGGCCGGCCCCGCCGCACCGACCTCACCGTGCTGGTGGCTCACAACGATGACCCCACCGATCAGATGTTCGTCTTCTTCCCCGGTGAGCGGCGCCGGGCCCGCTAGGCCTGGAGCCTGTGTGTGTATGTAGGGGGGTGCTCCCGGTAACCCCGAGTGGTTTCTCCGCCAGAGGAGCCCAAGGTGGGGATCAAGACCATCAAGATGTACTGCCAGCGCATGCAGGAGGAGAACATCACCCGGGCGCTCATCGTGGTGCAGCAGGGCATGACCCCCTCGGCGAAGCAGGTAGGAGGAGCAGCAGCGGTTCCTGCTTTGCCTTGTGTACCTTAATACAGGTTCTGGCTTTAAACCCAAGTGTATTTAGGCACAACAACAGGTTCTGGTTGCAAAGGGGCAGCCGGGAGGGGAAGGACATGGGTGAGGGATGCTCTGTGCCACACACGTGCAGCACTGGGTGGTTGCCAAGGAGCAGGGCCAGAGCCTGATGGAGCTTCCCCTCGGCAGTCACTGGTGGACATGGCTCCCAAGTACATCCTGGAGCAGTTCCTGCAGCAGGAGCTGCTGATCAACATCACCGAGCACGAGGTGAGCAGGGGGAGCCGCTGGTGGTGGAAGGGGCTGGGTGCTTTCTCTGTCTTCCCAATCACCCAGCCTCTCTCCCCGTTCACAGTTGGTCCCAGAGCACGTTGTCATGACAAAGGAAGAAGTAACGGAGCTGCTGGCCAGATAGTATCCTTTGTGCCTGCCCTCCCTGCTCTGGAGCCACGCGTGCTCATTCGGGTTGGAAGTGATCCCACCCATTCGCACCGGTTTCTTGCTCTGTCCCTGCTGCAGGAGCCTCTCCTTAACTCTCTGCAGTAAGCTGAGGGAGAACCAGCTCCCGCGCATCCAGGCTGGTGATCCCGTGGCCCGGTACTTTGGGATAAAGCGTGGCCAGGTAAGAGAGAAACAGCCTCAGGGAGCAGTTCCCTGTGGGCTTCAGAGCTCTCAGAGGCAGGAAGGTGGAAAAGCTGCTGTAAGTTGGGTGTAGAGGGCTGTAAGCCTCGCACATCCCTGGCTGTGGGGAGCTGGGTGAAGGGGGGAGCTCCGTGCTGATAGGGGCTGAGTGCACTTGGGTCGGGCAGGGAGCCCTGCAGGGGAAGCCCCACAGGTTCTCTCCTTCATGAGTCCCTTCTGTTGGTGTTCCAGGTAGTGAAGATCATCAGGCCGAGCGAGACTGCGGGCCGGTACATCACCTACAGGCTGGTGCAGTGACACGGAGCTGCCGGGTAGGGGCATTCCAGCATGGGCTGGAAGTAGCTGCCTTTAGGAGAAGCTTATCTCAGCTTTCAGTTGGTTTAGGGGGGAGCTGTTGGTGAGAGGACAGAGCAGAGCATGGCCGAGGGGATCGCATCCTGAGCTCTCTTTCTTCCAGGTGTGGAAGAGCTGGGTGACTCCTGATCTCCCCATCCACCTGCACTCAGACACCTGCCTCTCCATAGCTGGCCAAGCAAACCCTCTCTCTGCATTGCCTCTATGTGCTCCTTGCCCTGGTGCCTTGTTTGCCAGTGAGGACATTGCTGTGACTCCCTGCTCAGGACTCGAGCCATGGAAGTTACCTGGAGCAGCATGAGCGTGCAGGGAGGAAGCAAGTGGGAAAAGGCCTTTCCTTTCCTGTTCTATAGACTCCTGTTTGAATAAAGGTTTGCCCTCCCCTTGTTCCTCACTGCTGCTCCTCAGCCTCTCCCTGGGGCAAAGCCCCCTGGACTTGTTATGGCCAGAGCCCTGCTGCTGAAGCTCTGGTGTGGTTTTGGACATGGCCAAGCCCAGAGCTCTCCCTGCAGCCTCAGCCTTTTCTCACTGCCTCAGTTCCCTTGTTCTGCCCTCTGGCCCTTGGCTGAGGCCTCGGTGTTCCCGTTCCGCAGAGCTCATCACCACCACTTCCATTTCCATCTCTTCCAGGCCTCTTGAGGGGGTTTTAAGCTGGAGACCCTCAAGTGCTTCTGGTGCTCATCCCAGTGCGGTTGGGAGGACTTGGATCTCCAGGACAGGGGTGGGAACACAGGGATTTTATTCCTGGCAGCGTGTCAATCCCAACATGGGTCACACCCAGCTCATGGGCATGTCAGGACAAACAGCTCCGCTCTTCCTCTGCTGAATCCACACACAAACACAAGGCACCCGTTGCCACAGGAAGCTCAAGCACAGCTTTTGTCCCCCCCTCACTCACTCATTGTCAGCCACCCTCCCAAACACACCTGGTACCGCCTGTGGTGCAGTGGGTGAGCAGGAGCTGGCACTCGGTTGCCTTCCTCTCACCACCCTGGAATGACCTGGAAAAATCATGGAATCATAGAATAGTTCGGGTTGGAAAGGACCTCGGGATCATCCAGTTCCAACCCCTGCCATGGGCAGGGACACCTCACCCTAGGCCATGTCCCCCAGGGCTCTGTCCAACCTGGCCTTGAACGCTGCCAGGGATGGAGCATTCACTGTCACCCAGTGTCCTGGTGCAGTGCTGTGGAGCAGGATGTCCCTCGAGCATCCCTCGCTCTTCTTTAGCTCAGTTCTGAACCATTTCACTGGGGTCTGTGTGTACCTTGACCTGCTCTGCTGAGACACCGTTCCCACTGCTCTGGAGAGCTCCAGCAGTGACCCCCTGTGCCAGCATGGATCCTCAGGGGAGCTGGTTGGTCGGTTCTATACTACCAGGTCCTGGTTGATTGTTGGGAAACAGGTTTGGATTCATGCAGTTCCTTCAGGACCAGGGACTGTGAGTAGCTGCTGTGGGCTGCCCTTCTGCATCCATCCATCCATCCATCCATCCATCCATCCATCCATCCATCATCCATCCATCATCCGTCCATTCATCCATCCATACATCCATACATCCATCCATACAATCCATCCATCCATCCATCCATCATCCATCCATCCATCCATCCATCCATCCATCCATCCATCCATCCATCCATCCAATCCATCCATCCATCCATCCATCCATCCATCCAATCCATCCATCCATCCATCCATCCATCCATCCATCCATCCATCATCCATCCATCCATCCATCCATCCATCCATCCATCCATCCATCCATCCATCCATCCAATCCATCCATCCATCCATCCATCCATCCATCCAATCCATCCATCCATCCATACATCCATCCCATCCATCCATCCATCCATCCATCCATCTATCCATCCATCGTGGTCTTCACTCAGTGACAGCAGGATGCAGCCCAGGTATGAGCAGGGTGAGAGAAGGCAGCAGCTTCCAGCTCTTCATAAGCTCCAGATGTCCTCGTGTCTCTGCTTCAGCGCAGAGCAGTCAGAGCTTTCAAGCACTGTGGTCTCGTTTAACCCTTGTTAAGCCAGCGGAGGTAGTGGAGTCATGGTCAAGGCAGTCATAAAGGGAGAAGCCTCTTACACTGGTAGGGCTGTGACTCGCCTCAGGCCATGGGGATCCTGAGGAGGAGGAGGAAGAGAAGAAGGAGGCATCTCCCCTCAGTGACCTGCTCCATCTCCACAGGGCACAGGTGAGGTCCTGGACTCCCAGCTCAGACTTTTGGGTACCAAATGTGTCCCAAAGCAGCCCCCCTGAGTGATGGGGCCCTGCAGCAGCACAGCCTGGTCCTGAGCCTGCGCCTGCTCCTGGGGTGGCTCCTGCTGAGCAGGCAATGCCCATAAATACAAGCAGCGATGCAGAGGGAGGGCTGGGATGTGCTGGGGCAGTAAATGCATCGCTGGGCTTTGGGTGCCTGGTACAGCCAGTTGTAAATGGTGAATGTACCTGGCACATGGCTCCATGCACAAGGGTGCGGGTGGCTTTTACCCAGCCCCAGCACCCCTTTGGGCCGTGTCGCCTTCCCAGGGACCTGCTCCCCAGGTCTTGTCCATTGTCCATGCAGCGCCCTTCTCCCACTGTCGGGAATACCCCAGCGCCTCCCAGTTGCAGCCAGTCTCAGGCTCACCCTGCTTCTGATGCAGAGGGTTCCCCCTGTACAGCGGGGCTGTGGGGTTAAAGAGCGCAGTGAAGACGAGACCCAGCTCCAACAACAAGCGCAGGGGCTGCCCTGCTCCAGCGCCTTCCCTCCGGCCTCATGGATGTCTCGGGGGGTCCCAGCAGGCGCAGCCGGACCCCATGGACCCTCCGGGACCCGCGGGGCTCAGCGCGTTCATGTGAAAGCTCCAGCAAGGATCAGGTCCGTTCCCTGTCCCTCCCCACCGCTCAGCATCCCTCAGATGCGGGGCTCTGCGGGGAGGCAGCGCTCGGGGTCATTCAGCATCGCTGTGCTCGTTCCCAAGGGGGCTGCGGCAGCGCGGAGCGGAGCCCTCCGCATCCGAGGGGCCGGTGCTGCAGCTGCGGCTCCGCGGGCCCTCGCTGCCGTCCTCGCAGCCCGGAGCATCCTCGGTGCTGGTCTCGCTTCCCTGCTGGGTGAGGCGGGCCCGGGAGGCGCCGTGCGCGGTCCCCAGCGCGTCCCCGCTGTCCTCCAGCTCCGAGTCCGAGTCGACGGAGCGGTCGCCGGGCTCTGCGGGACACGGGGAGCCCTGCAAGGGGAGAGGAGGGAGGGAAGCTCCTGTAGTGGGTCCACAACGGGGTCAGAAGGGGGGGAATATCCCTGTGGAGAAGCGTGTGTGCGCCTGGCGCTGCCCTGGGGCACAAAACCCTCTCAAGAGGAGCGGGGATGCGATGGAGAGAGGCAGGTTTTGTAAGGGAAGGGCAATGGTGCTGCCTGGCCCCATAGCACCGTATGGGACAGTGGGGATGGGGACATCACTGGGGTAGCAGAGGGTGTGTGGAGGAGCTGCTCCAGCCTGGGTGTCCCCTATGGATGCTCCCTTCCCCAGGCTCGTACCAGCTCAGAGCAGGTCCCTGCCTCCCCTGCGCCATCCGGAGCGTGTTTGCTGCAGTCTCCCATTGCCACCAGCTCCTTGCTCTCAAAGATGATGGGGTAGAAGATGATGAGGGCCTCGATGATGCGAGACTGGTGCGGGTAATCCACCAGCGAGGACAGGGAAACGGTGGCATCTGTGGGCCTCGGGCGCATCAGCGTCGGCCCGAAGACGATGCCCAGGTTGCTTGAGGTCATCTTGTTGTCCTGTTCCACTTCCACGATCCTGGGGTGAGGAAGGAAGCAGGGAGAAGGGATGCGTGGATGGGCAGGGTGGAGGAGAAGCTGGGTTGGGAACACAGGGGTCCCCATTGGGGCACACAGGAGCTTCAGGGATGTACCTGTGGCTATGGGACCCGGATGCTGTCCCCATGGGACCAGTGGGGAGGCTCCCATCCATCACCCTCCCACCCTTAGGGACGATGCCCTGCGGACCTGCCCCTCTCACCTCCTCAGGTGCTGCAGCAGGTACTGCAGCGTGGCCATGTTCTCATGGGGCAGCTCCTTCAGCAGCTCCTTCAGCTTCAGCACCAGGTTCAGCACCACCCTGTCGGTGTCGGCTCCTTTGTCCTCCAGCTCGGGGCCCCCTTTGCCGCTCCTGCCCTTGGCCTCGCCGCCCTGCAGGCTCTCCTTGGCCAGGCCCATCAGCTCGTTGTACATGCGGAAGGGCATCAGGGGCTCCGGGAGCTGCAAGCGAGAGCAGGGGACATGGTCCAGCTCCTCCATGAGACCCCAATGCATCCCATGCTGTTGAGCTGAGGAAACCTGGAGCCTGTCTATGGCAAGGAGCCATCCCTGTGGCTTCAAACCACACTACCCACAAGGTAATGGTTGGTTCTCCATCGCCTGGAGCATGGCGATCAGCCTGGCCCTTTGGGGTGTGTGAAGCTCAAGCAAAAAGCAGCGTTTGATCAACGAGGAATGGGGGGCTCCGGGTGGAGATGCAGGATGAGGGCACAGCCCGCAGCAAAGGGGGGGATGCTCTTGCTTTGATGCCTGCACAGAGCAGCATTAAACTAACGGTGGTGCTGGGCGGCCGAAGGAGATTCCTGAGTGCTGGAAGCGGAGGGGTTTGGGATGGGCTTGAGCCCCGTTTGTCTGCAGCAGGAGGTTGGATCCCGGCCCCTCCTCTCTTCCCCCCCTGGGTTTCCTCTGTCCACAGCTGCAATTCCAAGGCTGGGAACGCAGGGAGCAGCGCCCTGAGCCTGGCTCCATGCATTGGAGCCCTTGTGCAGCGCTGCAGCAGCGCAGGGGCAGGCGGCACAGAGGGGTTAAGCTGCAGAGCTGCGGGGAGAGGAAGCTGCCTCCTCCCTGTGGCTGCTGCTGGAGGATGTGGGTGAGGATGGGGACAGGAGGCGGAGCTGCACCCATCAGAGCCCACCCCATGGTGACCTGAGGGGCTCAGCACCCATCAGAGCCCACCCCATGGTGACCTGAGGGGCTCAGCCCTGCTCTGCTTGGGGACCATGGGCTCTTTGTGATCACTTCCCCTTTCACGCCCCCATTTCCCTGTTGCGGAGGGGAGCAGGGATTGGGGTTCCCTGCAGGGACCGATGCTGCTGGAGGTGTCCCCGGTACCGTACCTGCCTCAGGTAGAGCTTCAGGACGTTGCTGATATCATGGGGAGAGGCCTGGGACAGCTCCACCAGTTCCTTCCCGTTCTCAAACGCTTGGCAGAGCTTCTCCACTCGGGTCTTGACGCCGTTGACCCGGTAAATGCCCTGCAATGGGGGGGAGAGCGGGGTGGAAGCAAGGGGGGTGTTTTCCCTTTAGGTTTATATGGGACCGAGGAGCTTTTACCCCCAACCCTCTCCTTTTGGCGTTGGAAATCCCTCCCCGAAGCCATTCTGGGTGTTACTGGTGTAGGAAAGAGGGAAGCGAGAGAATGGGTTTCCAAGCATTCATCAACTGGGACTTTCCAGGTTCCTGTCTCCTGCATCCTGGTGGTTTCCATGGCAAGAGGAGGGGGTTCCAAAGGCAAAGCAGAAAGGGGAAGAGGGGATTTATCACCTTGGTTTTCAGTGCCCGCTTCTCGATCTCGGCGATGCACTTCTTGATGATGAAGGGGATGCAGTCGGCGCTGCTCTGAGAAGCCTTCGTGAAGTCCTGCCCGAAAAGCTGCAGCTTCCCTTGGAGCTTCTTGTGCCCGCACTGGATGGCCAAGGATTCCAGGCACTTCTTGTGGCAGGCCAGGTTGCACTGGGAAACGAAAGGGGAAAGGCATGGAGGTGGGACCAGCGCCATGGAGCAGGAAGGATGGGAGCCACCGGGCATTGCCCACACTGAGGAGGTCCTGGAGTGCGATGGAAGAGAGGAAGATGCCTTTGTGGAGACACTGCAGGACCCCCCCTAAGGAGGAGCATCCTCCTGAGCACAGGTATCCTGAGGTGGGGTAAGGAAGCGGATCAAGGGAGCATGCACAGGTGATGGTGAGGACATCCCATTGCCAGGATAGCTGGGTATCCACCTGGGTATACCTGGGTATCCACCTGGATGTACCTGGGTATCCACCTGGATGTACCTGGGTATCCACCTGGATGTACCTGGGTATCCACCTGGATATACCTGGGTATCCACCTGGATGTACCTGGGTATCCACATGGATGTCTGGATCGTATACCTGGTATCCATGGATATACCTGGGTATCCACCTGGATGTACCTGGGTATCCACATGGATATACCTGGGTATCCACCTGGATATACCTGGGTATCCATTTGGATATACCTGGGTATCCACCTGGATGTACCTGGGTATCCACATGGATATACCTGGGTATCCACCTGGATGTACCTGGGTATCCACATGGATATACCTGGTATCCACTGGTTACCTGTTATCCACTGGATGTACCTGGGTATCCACCTGGATATACCTGAGTATCCAGCTGGATATACCTGTCTATCCACCTGGATGTACCTAGGTATCCACCTGGATATAGCAGAGTATCCACCTGGATGTACCTGGGTATCCACCTGGATATACCTGAGTATCCAGCTGGATATACCTGTCTATCCACCTGGATGTACCTGGGTATCCACCTGGATGTACCTGGGTATCCACCTGGATGTACCTGTCTATCCACCTGGATGTACCTGGGTATCCACCTGGATATACCTGAGTATCCGGCTGGATATACCTGTCTATCCACCTGGATGTACCTGGGTATCCACCTGGATATACCTGAGTATCCGGCTGGATATACCTGTCTATCCACCTGGATATACCTGAGTATCCACCTGGATATACCTGGGTATCCACCTGGATGTACCTAGGTATCCACCTGGATATAGCAGAGTATCCACCTGGATGTACCTGGGTATCCACCTGGATGTACCTGGGTATCCATGTGGATGTACCTGGGTACCCACCACTTCTCCCACCTTTACCTCCTCACACTCTGCTCCCTGGAAGTAAACGTAGCTGTTGCACTCCCGGCACTTGGAAGGGGTTCGGAGCTTCCGCAGCCGATGGGTCTGGGCAGCCTTGGATAAGCCAATGTTTCGGAACGGCCCCGTTGGAGCCGCCATCTCTGGGGTGATCCCATTGATGCCTGTGAGCAGAACAAGAGGAAACGCTCCTGAGGATGCAGGGGGAGCCAAGCTGTGACCCCAGGATGGGTTATATTGGAAGGGAGCTTAGAGCTCATCCAGTCCCAACCGCTGCCATAGGGACCCCTTCCACTGGAGCAGCTCCAAGCCCCTGTGTCCAACCTGGCCTTGAGCACTGCCAGGGATGGGGCAGCCACAGCTTCTCTGGGCACCCTGTGCCAGCGCCTCAGCACCCTCACAGGGAAGAGCTTCTGCCTAAGAGCTCAGCTCAGTCTCCCCTCGGGCAGGTTCAAGCCATTCCCCTTGGCCTGTCCCTACAGGCCCTTGTCCCAAGCCCCTCTCCAGGTTTCCTGCAGCCCCTTTAGGCACTGGAGCTGCTCTGAGGTCTCCCCTTCAGGAGCCTTCTCTTCTCCCCATGCTGTCACCATCGGGTACCCTCCAGAGCTCCTGAATGTGGGAGAAGCCAGCGCAGAGCTGGCTTTGCCCGTGGGTGCTCCGCAGGACCCTGCCCGGTCACGTACCCTGCTCAAAGGGGGCCGTGCTCTCATCCTTCTCCTCCAGCTCCTCGCTGGAGGATGCGGTGCCGTTGGAGGACAAGCGCTGGAGCTTGTGGCTGAACTCCCCTGGCAAAAGGAAACCCAAGAGCTGATTCCCACAGCGATCCCTGTGGGAAAGGGGGCACCAGGAGCCAGCAGGGGCTGCAGCCAGGGGAGTGTGAATGTTCAGCGGTCCCTCACCCCATCCCATCTCATCCATCCATCCCATCCCTTCCTTTTCCCTCCCATCCCATCCATCCCATTCCATCCCATCCCCTCCCATCCATCCCATCCTATGTCCTCCCATCCCATCCTATCCATCCCATCCCCTCTCATCCATCCCTCCCATCCCATCCCATCCCATCCCCTCCCATCCATCCCATCCATCCCATCCCCTCCCATCCATCCCTCCCATCCCATCCCCTCCCATCCATCCCATCCCCTCCCATCCATCCCATCCCCATCCCATCCATCCCATCTCTTCCCTTTCCCTCCCATCCCATCCCATCCATCCCATCCCCTCCCATCCATACCACCTCCCTCCTCCTCCCACCCATCCCACCCATCCCTCCCTTTCCCTCCATCCATCTCCATCGCCTCCCATCTATCCCATCCCTTCCCTTTCCCTCCCATCCCATCCCATCCATCCCATACCCTCCCATCCATCCCCTCCCATCCCATCCCATACATCCCACCCCATCCCCTCCCATCCATCCCATCCTATCCCCTCCCATCTATCCCATCCTATCCCCTCCCATCTATCTCATCCTATCTCCTCCCATCCCATCCTATCCATCCCATCCCCTCCCATCCATCCCTCCCATCCCATCCCATCCATCCCATCCCCTCCATCCCATCCATCCCCTCCCATCCATCCCATCCTATCCCATCCCCTCCCAGCCTGTCGGAGGCTGGGATCAGAGCAGTTATTTACAACCCAGTGCTATCATGAAGCAGATAAAAGTGCCAGCCCCCCCCAATCCCAGTGCTCTGCTTTTAGGCTGACACCATTGGAGGGGAAGGACTCCCTGCCCTGGGCTGGTTTTGGTGTCTACCTGTGCTTGAATCCAGGCTGCTGTCAGCTTCGGGCACGGTGGTTGGCCAGGATTTATGGACCTGGTGTCCCCTCCCACCTGCAGAGGAGAGCACATCGTCCATTTGGGACTGCTGCCTGTGCTCAGGGGAGAAACAGGGGAACGGCCTGGACCCCGGAGGCATGGAGATAGCCAAAGGAAGCCCCTTGGTTTCCTGCTGGTGGCCTTGTGATGCCTTTGGTGAGGCACCCAGCAAGGGAAAGAGGAGCTGGGATGATGGAGAGTGCTCTGGGTACCACCAGAGAGCCAAAGCCAAACCAGCCCATGGATCTGATTCGTGTCCTTTGGGAGGTTCAGACTGAAGAGCTCCCAGCCTGCCCCGATGCTGCACAAACCCCCTGGTACCCATGGAGGTCCAGCTCTGCCCCGGGCCCATGGGATGCTGCAAGTGGTGCCATTGGGAGCCTCTGCTGTGCCTCAGGCCTATGGGATGCTGCGGGATGCTGTGAGCAGTGCCATTGAGAGCCTCTGCTCTTCCCCAGGCCCATGGGATGCTGTGGGATGCCGTGGGATGCTGTGAGTGGTGCCATTGGGAGCCTCTGCTCTGCCCTGGGCCCATGGGATGCTGTGGGATGCTGTGGGATGCTGTGAGTGGTGCCATTGGGAGCCTCTGCTCTGCCCCGGGCCCATGGGATGCTGTGGGATGCTGTGAGCGGTGCCATTGGGAGCCTCTGCTCTGCCCTGGGCCCATGGGATGCTGTGGGATGCTGTGAGCGGTGCCATTGGGAGCCTCTGCTCTGCCCCAGGCCCATGGGATGCTGTGGGATGCTGTGAGCGGTGCCATTGGGAGCCTCTGCTCTGCCCCAGGCTTACCTCTGCCCTCAGCAGCCATGGCCCCACCGTGCTGCTCCTTGGCTTCTGCTCCCCCTTCCGAGACAGCCCCATCCTTGGGCATCCCGGCTCCATCAGAGCCAGCTCCCGATGGGAACTCAGCATTGAAGCTGCCTTTGCGTGTCCGAGTGAAGGGGGACCTGGGGGTGGAAAGAGGGGGAAAAGGGAACATTGGAGCAGGTGAGGAGGGAGGAAAACCTCATTGACGGCTCCATCCGCCTGCCCTGGCATCCCTCACACAGCGGGTACCCTGTCCCATCCATGGCATGAGGGCATTCCCAACTGCTCCATCCCCATCTGGGGATGCCAGCCCCACTGGGAGGTTGTGACAATGAAACAGAGCCTAACCCAGAGCTGGTTTCCCCTTGTCCCTTCCTACCAGGCGTTGTGGGAGACGTAGGGCTCGAAGTCGTACTGGGTGTCGGGCTCGTCGCCGCGCTGGAGCTGCCGGACGTGCGAGGCGTACTGCTGGCCAGGGTCATAGAGCTTGCTGCTCTCACACAGGGTCTGGAAGTTGACGGGCAACGGGGCCGTCTGCATGTGCATGATCTGGTAGAAGGAGATGGTGGCCTAAAGGGAACAAGGGGAAGGTCAGAAGGGAGATTTGGGGAGCCTCAAAAGGGGCTATGAGGATGCTGGAGAGGGATGTTCAGAGTGATGGGACAAGGGGTGATGGGTTCTGACTGAAACAGGGAAGTTCAGGTTGGATGTAAGGAGGAAGCTCTTTACTATTAGGGTGGTGAGGCACTGGAATGGGTTGCCCATTGAGGTTGTGAATGCTCCATCCCTGGCAGTGCTCAAAGCCAGGTTGGATGGAGCCTTGAGTGCCATGGTTTAGTGTGATGCATCCCTGCCCATGGCAGGGGTTGGATCTGGATGATCTTAAGGTCCTTTCCAACCCAACGCATTCTATGGCTCTATGGAGGAGATGGGAAGTCTGGTCTGCAGGCTCGGTCTGCAGGCTTGGACCTTGGCTTTTCAGAGCACAATGGAATAGAAGATGCTCTCCATGCACCCGGACCTCATCCAAAACAGGGGCAGCCAAGCCTCTGCTGAGCAGGGCACGGCCACCTCCCACCCAAGCGAGCTCCACTCACCAGCTTGATGACCTGGTCGCTCTGCTTGATCATTTCATGGATCTGCCGCAAGGAATTCACTTTGGTGTCCTCCAGCTCCTGCTTCTGCGTGTTGGCATCCGCAACACAGGTCCGGTACGTGGCCATCGCCTCCTCCGCCTGCGAGAGCACGACGTGGAACCAGGCCATGGATGGGGAGAACAAGGAGAAAGGGCATCACTGGAGAGCAGCTTTGGACCCCTTTAGGCTCATCCCGTATCCAGATCCCACGTTCCCACCTTGTTCTTGGCTTCCTCTTCCAGCCTCCTCTTCTTGTCCAGGGTTTTGGTGGTGATGCTGCTGGTGATGCTCTGCTGGTCTTCTTCTGCTTTCACCGCCATGTACTTGGCCTTGTCGTGCTCCTCGCTGCGCTGCATGTAGGTCTGCTTGGCCTTGCGCAGGTTCGCCTCTGCCTCTTGCTGCCAGCGAAACAGTGACCCATGGTGAGGACTGCTTTGTGCAGGGGGGGTTCTTATCCCCCCCATGTTCCTCTGGTGCCCCCCAGCGCCGCTGGAGAGGGGCCGAGCGCAGCATCCTCAGAGGGGTGCTTGCCATGGGATGCTCCAGACCATCCCCAAGCAGCACAACCCTGGTCCTGGCCCTCACCAGCTTCCTCTGCGCCCGGTGCCACTGCTCCTTGATCTCCTTCCTCCTCTTCTCGTGTTCCAGGCGCCTCAGGGAGAGCGGCTGCACCGGGGAGAAGCGGCCCCACATCAGTCTGAGCTGCTCTTCCCTTGGTAAGGGGAGAAGTGCCCTGTGCTGGTGATCCCCAGCACATCCCAGGGACATGGGGATGCTCCTGGGATGAGGCAGAGGTACCAAGGTGCTGCTTCATTTGAGGGGGGGGCCTCTCCTAGACCCTAACAGCCCCCAGCAGCTGGCTGAGAGCTTGGGCAAGGCTCAAGGAGCCGGGTACCCCTCACCTGGAGGAAGGTTTGCTGCTGCAGGGTGCTGGCAGCCTGCAGGACCGATGCTGCGTGCTCCGTGTCCTGCTCCAGGGTCAGCAGGTAGATGGACAGGAAGGGCATGTTGGCCTGAGGGAGGGGAGAAGGCATCACCCTGACCCTGGCACCGGGACCCGAAGCATCCTCCAAAGGGATGCAGGGCCAGAGGCGATGCTGGGATGCAGGGAGCGTACCTCCTGGCTGAAGGTTTGCTTGCAGCTATTGGCCATCTTCTGAAACCCTTTGGCAAACTCCATCTCTGGAAGAAGAGGGTTGGGAATGAGGAGACATCGGGGATGCCCTCACAGCATCGCTGCCCATAGAGGACCTCAACCTGTTCTGATGCTGCCATGAGGGACCCTGATCACCCCCCCCAATGCGCCGCTGTCCTCCCTGCCTCACCCAGCGTGGTCCTTTTCTCTAGGTACCCCATGAGGTCCTTCATGTACTTGGAGATGTTCTTGGCGTACTGCAGGGCAGCGTCCACCCCTCCCTCGCAGCGCTGCAGCAGCACATCCACTTCTTCAGCAGGGGGACCGCCTGCGATGGGGCGAGGAGGAGGAGGATGGTGGGGAGGAAGGCACTGGGGGTGCTGGGGCCCTGCTGCTGTCCTGCCGGCCCCTGGCACCCCAAACCCTGACCCGTGGTGTAGCTCTCCATACCCGGAGGCAGGGCATCTCCTCCAGGGCCGGGGATCCCCCCATAGAGGTTCTCCATAGTCTGGGAATGGGGAAGGAAAAGGGAATGATGAGATAAGAGGAAGGGGCTGATGGATGGAGACACCCGGAGCTGTTGTTGCTGGAGGTCTGCTTGGCCCTATGGAAAGGCTGGGATCTAACGGGAATGCCACTGGGGAAACACCTTGCTCCGTGCTCACACCAGGCTGGGGCAGAGCTAAGGGGAGCACCCAGAGCCCTGTTTTCTGCCTCCATCCCTTCCCAAAGCCACCTTGCCCATTGGATCGTGCTCCCAGGTGGCTTTTCCCATCCGTGGGAGGGTGGCAAGGGCAGGAGTGAGGGATGGGATGGGGATCAAACACACACATCCCGGGAGCGGTGCCATGGGATGAGGCCCCACTCACCTGGTTCTGGATGGAGAGGATGGTGCTGCTGTCCACCTCCCCCATGAGGAACTCGGACACGCTGCGAGAGAGGAGCAGGGCTGGGCTCAGCAGAGGGGGCACTGACACCCAGCAGCACCCCCTTGCACCCCATATGGTGCTGCAGGGCTGGATTCAATGGGGTCAGCTCAGCCCTGGAGGAGGAGCAGAGCTCGGCCCATCCTTAAGGAGGGGATGGGGTATGGATGCTGGGGGGCTTGGGCAGATGCGAGTGCCCTCCTTGTGGGGTCCCCATGGGGACAGGGCGATGGGGTCCATCTGTGGGGCACGGCTGGCTCGGAGCCCCTTACGTGCTGCTGAAGGACACGGCGATGGTCTCCACGGCCTTCTCGAACTCCCTCTTGTCCACCTCATTGTTGGATTCATAATGGAAGCCTGGCAAGGAGGACGTGAGGAAGCGGGGTCATCGCTATCCCTGCCTTGGCTCCTTGCTGTGGGGCTGGGTCGAGCTCCATGGAGCATTGGGATGTACTGGATCACCCCTATGGATGCTGGGCTGTGCCCAGTGCAGCGCAATGCCTCTGTGCCCTCCATCTCCTCCCTGCCAGCATCTCTTGGCTCATCCTTCTCCTTATCCCCATTACCCAGGGCTCTGGACCAGTGCTGCTGAGCATGGACCTGTCCTGGAGCCTCCAGTGTCTACCAGAGCCCTGCTCCATGGTGCAATGGGACCACTTCCTCCAGGAGGGCTCCAAAAGAGGAACCAGTGCAGGAGGAGGACCCAGCACCAACCACAGCTCCTATGGGGCTGGGATCTGCTCCCCTCCTCTGCCCCAGTGATGCAGCAGCCTCGTCTTGCTCCATGGCAGCCCCGTGTGGGGCCAGCCCCACGGCGAAGCCGCTGTCACCAACCACGAGGCTTCCTGTGCCGTTCGGTGGCCAGGAAGCGGTGGGTGACGCACGCTGCTGTTGTGCTCTGCCTGCGGTCAGCCCCGGCTCCATAAACACCCGGCTCTGGCCATGCTGGAGCCCAGTGTGGAAGCGCTTGGATCCCCCTTCCAAGCATGGATCTGGGCTCCAAAGCCTAAACCACAGCAAGCAGCAGGGGATGCTGCCACCCCTTGTCCCTCCACTCCCTGCATCCCCGCTATGGGGCCAGCCCCATCCTCTCACCCTTGACCCTGGAGATGAGGGTGCCGGCAGCCGTCAGGGTCTCGAGGGTGTTGAGCAGCGGGTACTTGCTGATGACCTGGCGCAGGACCCGCAGGGTTTCACCCAGGCACTCGTGGGCCAGCGGCCGCTGCGGCTCTTTGGGGTCTGTGAGAAGGGGGGGGTTGAAGTGATGCCACGTCCTTGCTTTATCCCTGACCCATCCCTGCCCCATGTCCCTGCCTCACAACCCTGCTCCATCCCTTCTCCATCCCTGCTTCACATCCCTGCTGCACATCCCTGCTCCATCCCTGCCTCACATCCTTGCCCCATCCCTGCTCCATCCCTGCTCCATCCCTGCCGCACATCCCTGCTCCATCCCTGCTCCATCCCTGCCGCACATCCCTGCTCCATCCCTGCCTCACATCCCTGCTCCATCCCTGCTCCATCCCTGCTTCATCCCTGCCGCACATCCCTGCTCCATCCCTGCTCCATCCCTGCTCCATCCCTGCTCCATCCCTGCCGCACATCCCTGCTCCATCCCTGCTCCATCCCTGCTCCATCCCTGCTCCATCCCTGCTCCATCCCTGCTCCATCCCTGCCGCACATCCCTGCTCCATCCCTGCTCCAACCCTGCTCCATCCCTGCCGCACATCCCTGCTCCATCCCTGCTCCATCCCTGCTCCATCCCTGCCGCACATCCCTGCTCCATCCCTGCTCCATCCCTGTCCCACATCCCTGCTCCATCCCTGCCCCATCCCTGTCTCACATCCCTGCCCCACACCCCTGTCCCACATCCCTGCCCCATCCCTGCCCCATCCCTGTCTCACATCCCTGCCCCACATCCCTGCCTCATGTCCCTGCTCTCTGGATCCCCCTTCCCATACTTAACAGCCACCCTCTGGGCAGGGTCCTGACAGGCCCCCAAACCACACAGCCCATCCCCTTGGCTTTGGGGCTTCTCAGGACCGATACAGCCAGTCCTGCTGTCTCCAGTCCCGCTGTCTCCAGTCCCGCTGCCTCCAGTCCCGCTGTCTCCAGTCCCGCTGCCTCCAGTCCCGCTGCCTCCAGTCCCGCTGTCTCCAGTCCCGCTGCCTCCAGTCCCGCTGCCTCCAGTCCCGCTGTCTCCAGTCCCGCTGTCTCCAGTCCCGCTGCCTCCAGTCCCGCTGTCTCCAGTCCCGCTGTCTCCAGTCCCGCTGTCTCCAGTCCCGCTGTCTCCAGTCCTGCTCCCAGTCCCGCTGTCTCCAGTCCCGCTGTCTCCAGTCCGCTGTCTCCAGTCCGCTGCCTCCAGTCCCGCTGTCTCCAGCCGCTGTCTCCAGTCCTGCTCTCTCCAGTCCCGCTGTCTCCAGTCCGGTTCCAGTCCCGCTGCCTCCAGTCCGCTGTCCAGCGCTGTCTCCAGTCCGCTGCCTCCAGTCCCGCTGCCTCCAGTCCCGCTGTCTCCAGTCCCGCTGCCTCCAGTCGCTGTTCCAGTCCCGCTGTCTCCAGTCGTGCCTCCAGTCCCGCTGCCTCCAGTCCCGCTGCCTCCAGTCCCGCTGTCTCCAGTCCCGGTGCCTCCAGTCCCGCTGCCTCCAGTCCCGCTGTCTCCAGTCCCGCTGTCTCCAGTCCCGCTGTCTCCAGTCCCGCTGCCTCCAGTCCCGCTGCCTCCAGTCCCGCTGTCTCCAGTCCCGGTGCCTCCAGTCCCGCTGCCTCCAGTCCCGCTGTCTCCAGTCCCGCTGCCTCCAGTCCCGCTGCCTCCAGTCCCGCTGCCTCCAGTCCCGCTGTCTCCAGTCCCGCTGTCTCCAGTCCCGCTGCCTCCAGTCCTGCTCTCTCCAGTCCCGCTGTCTCACCATCCCAGCCGTGTCCCGGTGGATGCAGCCCAACTTTCCAGGCATTTTTCCTCAGAAATAGCTTTTTCCCTTGAAAGCGGTTTGGGAATTTCCTCCTCATTTCCGCCCCTTCCTCCCCACGGGATGGGCTCTGCCGGCTGTCAGCAGGGATGCGGCAGCTCGGTCCTGCTGCTGTGCCCATCCATGGCATCCTTCCCCATCCCCATCCTGCTGCTGTGCCCATCCATGGCATCCTTCCCCATCCCCATCCTGCTGCTGTGCCCATCCATGGCATCCTTCCCCATCCCCGTCCTGCTGCTGTGCCCATCCATGGCATCCTTCCCCATCCCAGTCCTGCTGCCATACCCATCCATGGCATCCTTCCCCATCCCCATCCTGCTGCTGTGCCCATCCATGGCATCCTTCCCCATCCCCGTCCTGCTGCTGTGCCCATCCATGGCATCCTTCCCCATCCCGGTCCTGCTGCCGTGCCCATCCATGGCATCCTTCCCCATCCCCATCCTGCTGCTGTGCCCATCCATGGCATCCTTCCCCATCCCAGTCCTGCTGCCATACCCATCCATGGCATCCTTCCCCATCCCCATCCTGCTGCCGTGCCCATCCATGGCATCCTTCCCCATCCCCGTCCTGCTGCTGTGCCCATCCATGGCATCCTTCCCCATCCCCGTCCTGCTGCTGTGCCCATCCATGGCATCCTTCCCCATCCCCATCCTGCTGCTGTGCCCATCCATGGCATCCTTCCCCATCCCCGTCCTGCTGCTGTGCCCATCCATGGCATCCTTGCCCATCCCGGTCCTGCTGCTGTGCCCATCCATGGCATCCTTCCCCATCCCAGTCCTGCTGCCATACCCATCCATGGCATCCTTCCCCATCCCGGTCCTGCTGCTGTGCCCATCCATGGCATCCTTCCCCATCCCTTCCATGGGCTCCAGCTGGGACCCCATGGGTCCAGCCCAGCTCCCCACTGCCTCAGTGCTGGTGCCATGGCACGGGGCTAAGCACCGGCAGCGTGAGGAGGTGAGGAGCCTCCCATAGGGAAGTGCTGGGGTCGGGAACTGGCACCCCCTGCCCCACCAGGCTAAACCTGCCCCACATCCCAGCCCCAGACTGGGGTCAGGAAGGGGTTTCCAGGGTTCCATTTCCAGAGTGGGAAGCAGGGAATGGGAATGGGGCTGGATGGGCTCAGAGGAGAGCTGGACTCTCCAAAGTCACAGCAGCATCCCCAACCTCTCCCTATCTCTTTGCCAGTGGCAATGGCACCATCTCGGCCACCCCAAACCGGGTCCAGTTGTAACTGTGGGGCCGGGCAGTGGATGTCACCTTCCTGCTCAGGGCTGTTTCATCCTTGCCCAGACCTTTGCAGTGACCTTAAGGCATCGCCCCCCGGTAGCACAGACCCCAGACCCATGGGGCTGTGGTCTCCATAGTGAGCGGGGATGTGCCAGCATCTTCAAACACCCAGAGCCAGAGCCGAATCCCCCTCGCACCGCCGGGACCACGGGATCACCGCATCCCCTTCACCTCCCGTACCCCATGGCCCTGCACCCACGCTGGGACACAGCCCTATGGGTCATGGCGGGGCCGGTGCCCGGTGCCCCGTGGGGCCCCGACCGCTGGCACGGCTGCGCTGTAAACAGGAAAGCGGGCGGATGAAAATAGCTCGTGGGCAGGAAGCGGCGTTATCCCGGCTCCGAGCAACCGGCAGCCACCCAGCGCCTCCCTCCGCAGCCCCGCTCCGCTTCCCCCCACCGGGACCGGGATGCTCCCGCACCCATCCCGGTGCTCACCGTCCCGCAGCACCACGTCCCGCAGCTTCTCCAGGGCATCAGCGAACCGGGCCACGTGTGCCAGGAGCTGGGAGATGTCCTCGGTGTCGATGAAGGGACCCTCACCGCCCTCCATGGGGCTGTAGGAGGAGGATGTGGGGGTCCTGTGGCCCTTGGGCACGGCCCTGGGGCCGGCCGGGGTGAGGGGGAAGCCGGCGGCGCTGGCGTGGCGGCTGAGGCTGGTGGGGCGCTTGAGGGTGCCCATGGCGCTGGGGCTGGTGCTGAGCTTGGAGCTGGATGGGGGCAGCTCCCCCAGGCTGGAGGTGGGCGCTTCCAAGCAATCCTTACGGGAGAGGTCCTGGGGAGCAGGGAGCAGAGTGAGGCTGGGACCCCAGTGCAGGCAGGGAGCAGCAGCACCCCCGGTGCTGTTATGTGAGGGGCTGTGCCTCAGTTTCCCCATGCAGGCATCCCAGTAGAGCCCGAGGGTGATCCTGGCCGGGTCCAGCCATCCCCAGCATCCCCTCCAGCGCAGCTCCCTGCGGAGCATCCTCCCCAGCACAGGGGTTTTGGAAAGCAGCATCGCCCCTGAAGCCACAGGCCAGGACATCTGCCCCCATGGACCCCACTGGCCCCCACCACTGCCTATGGGTCCGGGTTTGTCCTGGGGGGCACACAACCACCATGTGGGTGACACTGCCCTGGCTCCACCAGCACCCAATGTACCCACTGTGCCGGAGCTCCCCATCCCCAGCGGGCCATGACGCAGCTGAGGAGCCGGCCCCATCGTCCCTTCCTCTTTCACAGCCTGTCCCAACCCCAGGTCGGGCACAGCCCCGATTTCTAGGGGTAAAATTGCTCCAAGGAGGGGTCGGTACCGGCACCGGGGACCCCATTGCCCATCCAGCATCGTCCATCAGCAGCCCGCAGGCACTCTGCTGTGACACGAGTGCGCTGGGTCTCAGCATCCCCAGCCAGGCACCGCTGCCTCGGTGGGACCAGAGCCCATCTTCGGTACCGGGGCAGACACCGAACCCTGTGGGCAGCTGAGGCTGCTGCGGGTGAGACTGAACCAGAGCAGCTCAGCCCCCCCAGCACCAGCAAAGGGGGTGCCCAAAGACCCGCACCCTGCAATGGCTGGGGCCAGCCCTTTAGAACCCATCCGCATCCCTGCATCCCCCGGTCCCCCCCAGCCCTACCATCAGCCTCACGGCAGAGTCCAGGGAGCCTTTGGGGGCTCTGGCATCGCCCGTCCTGCGGCGCCCGGCCGAGTAGGGGCTGTAGCTCCTCCTGCCACCGGCCCGGCCCAGCATCCCTCCGCCTGCCGCCCATCGGCCCCGCTCCCGAGGGCTCAGGGATGGGGCCGGGTGCCCCTTGCTATGGAGCCGTATGGGGCCCGTCTCATCGGCCCCATCTCTCCCCATGCTCTGCGGCTGGGCGCAGGCGCGGGGCAGGCAGTGCTGGGGTGCGTGGAGGAGCCCCAGCTACCGGCCAGCCCCACTTCCTCCTGCTCCCCTCCAGCTCCGTACATAAATACACAGCGGAGCCGGGGCATCGGGGCTGTGTTCCTGCCCTCTGGGGGTGTCTCTGCCCTCCCCATCCCCACAGCCCCATGGTTGGGCTCCCCTGCCCTGTGCCACATTCCCTGTGGCTGCTCTACCCCGTTCATGTGGGGCAGCATCCCCCCAGTCGCAATGAGCAGGGTCTGTCTCCATCTCCCTCCTCCTCCTCGTAGACCCCTGCCCCGCATCCAGGTCCCCCCAATCCCACCCTGCGGCTCTTCCAAGCATCTCCATGAGCCCCGTAGCCCCATGGCGCCCAGGTTGAGCAGGGGACACTCACCGGCAGGGTCTGCGGGACGGGGCTCCCCGCCCGGCTCTTCTTGGAGATGGAGGGGGTTTTCATCAGCTCCCGCTTCTTGCGGGAGAACATGGCTCTGGGGGGGGGCCGAGCCGCTGCCCCCCGGCCCCGCTGCCCTGCCCGGCTCCGGCTCCGGCTCCGGCTCCGGCTCCGGTTCCTCACCGTCCCGGCCACATTCGCCGGGGCCAACTGTCAGGAGGGCGCGTGTGACGCTGCCTTATTTCCTCATCGGTTCACAGCCCAACCTGAAACAGGAAAAGCCCCAATGAGCACCCAGGGCGCCTCGCTGGGGGGGGGGGGAAAGGGGACCCCGGCTGCCCCTAGGGGTGATGGGGGGCTTGGCCCCAGGGCTGCAGAGAGGGGTCTGTGGGGGGCAGAGCCCCCCACTCTGCAGAACAGGGGCTGCCCCCCCCAGGCCTCTGTTTGGGGGTGTCCATCACCCCGGGGGGGGGGCAGAGCAGGGAGCACCCCATGGGTGGGCACCCAGAGCTCGGCATCGCCATCACCCCCAACTGCCCACTGGGGTCACCGCCCGTGACCCACGGCATCGATAAACACCGGGAGGGACGGGATGGGTCCGGGGGGGGCTGTGGGGGACCCTCGGGGAGCCGGGGGGGGGGGGATGCATGTGGTGCGCTTCACCCCGAGACCCCCGCGGGGCTGCCTTTGGGGGACACGGACATGGGGGCAGCGGATCCCGGTGTGCGTGGGGTGTGTGTGTGTGTGGGTGTGTGTGTGTGTATGTGTCGTGTCCGTGTGTCCCGCGTGTGCGCGCACGTCTGTGTACACACGTGGAGGGGGCGATGCACACAGGGGGATGCACATAGAGTGCCCGCTATGGACGTGTGCGTGTGCCCGTTATAGAGGTGTGCATGTGCCCTCTATGGACGTGTCTGTGTGCCCGTTATAGATGTGTCCGTGTGCCCGCTATGGACGTGTCCATGTGCCCGTTATAGACGTGTCCGTGTGCCCGCTATGGACGTGTCCGTGTGCCCGCTATGGACGTGTCCGTGTGCCGGGCTGCGCCCTCCTGTGTCCGCGACACCTCCATCCCCATCCCCGGTTCCCCCGGTCCCGGTGCCGGGGTGTGGGGACAACCCCCCCCCCCCCCCCCCCCCCCCCCGTGTGCGATCCGGGCGCTTCTGGCCTTATTTGGGCATTTCGGCCCCGTCCAATCAGCGCGGGGGAGAAGCGGGTCCGAGCCCCGCCCGCCCCATCCCGCCCGCCCCGTCCTGTCCTGTCCCGTCCCGTCCCGCTGCCGCTGCCCGCTCCGGTACCGGCTCCGCTGCGCTCCCGGCCATGAGCAGCTCCCAGTTCAACAAGGGCCCCTCCTACGGCCTCTCCGCCGAAGTCAGGAACCGGGTGAGCAGCGGCGGGGGATGCCCGGGACCACCGGGATGGCGGCGGTGGGGGGAGTCGAGGCCGGGGGTAACCGGAGCCACCGGGAGCCCTGGAGAGCCGGGTGTGCCGGTGCTGCTGCGGGGAGGGTGCTTGGGGAGCCGAGGGGTCCCGGTGCCACCGGGGGGCAGAGAACCGCGGTCCGGGAGGATGCGGAGCGGGGCATCCCCCGAGGATGCAGAGCCGGTGCGTCCGGGGGTGCCGGGAATGGGCTCCGTGCTCGGGGTGCCCTGGCCCTGCCCGGGGGGACCGGGGCTGGGGGGGCTCCCGGGTACCGGATTCCTCCCCCAGGTCCGTGCAGTGGCCGCTGTCGCCCTCTGCAAACCCCCGGCGCCTTTCGGAGCTTGTCCGCAGCCCCGCGGCCTTCTCCTATGGGATGCTCCGACCGCGGCTCTTGTTGGGGATGGGGCTGGTGGCCCCACGGGGATCCCGGCAGGAGCAGCCCCCGGCCCACACCGGCTCCTTGGAGGCTGGGACCCGCAGCACCCGCAGCCTTGCAGGGAGCTGCTCTCCCGCACCGTTCCCATTTCAGGGCCTGAAGGGGAAAGGGGAACCGGTGCCTCCGGGTGCTGCAGGGTGCAATGAACCCCCTGACCGCCGGCACCCTCCGCCGGGCCGATGGAGCCTCCCCTCAGAGCTGGGTGCTGGTGATGGGCAGCCCATGGTGCATCCTTGCAGGGCTTGTGCTGCCGTGATGGGGGTACAGGGGCCCTATGGGGCTGGGGGATGTGGGGCTTGTGGCTGGGCTCCAAGGCACTGCTGCTGCCCTGGGCAATGGCACAGGCAGAAGTTGTGGTGTTGGTCTGTGCCTGGCCCCAGGCGAGCTGAGGTTGAGCCCTGGTTACCCCAGGGCAGGCGGTGGTGGCTCTGCGTGGCCATGGGGATGTGGCTGGGTTCTCCTTGCCCGGCCTTGCAGGGGTTTGCATTTCATCACCGGCAGAAGACGGGTCCCTGCTTGCATCTGGGCTGGGCTGCACCCGTGCTGAGCGGGTGGACACGCACCGGAGCCTTGCTGCTGCGTGCTCCTGGGTGCTTCGGCTTGATTCAGCAAGACCTGAGCCAGTTTTACTGCCCCGGTGTCTGCTGGAGGCTGACATCACCCACTGGGAACCAGTCAAACCACTGACACTCTCCCAGTCCATGTGCACTGGGCTGTGGTGGGGTCTGCTCTGGGGCTGGTCCCCTCTGACCCGGTCCAGTGCTGGCCATGGGGTGGGAAGGATGCACTGGGAGGATGGTGGGATCCCCTGGTTGGGATGCATGAAGTGTTGTGTGAACCTGACCTCAGCTGGAGCATCCCTGCATCCCACCAGGTGCATCCCAGCTGGACCATTCCCACTCCAGGGATGCCAGGATGGAGTGGGATGGGTGAGAGGCCGGTGGCTGGTTTGCAGCTGTCTTTGGGTACCAGCTGAGCACAGGAGGGACAAGCATCGGGCAGGATGGCTCCTGGGGCTTGTACCCATTCCAAACTGGAAGCCTTTTCCCTCGCTGGTGGACCAGGGCCCAGGCGATGCTGCCGGTGATGCTGCCGGCCCGGGGCAGCTGGTCTCCATTTGGGAGGAGGCATCCGCATTCCTGGCATAGCCGCGGTGACCAAGGAATCCGCGGCGGCGCGTTCGGCCCTGCCGCAGGGGAGAGCATCGCATGGCCGGGGACCCCGGGGCTCAGTGGGGGACAGGGAACAGGGGAGGAATGCACCCCAGAGGGGGACGTTCCCCTCCAGCCCCAGGGGCACATCCTCCTCATCCTCCTGGAATGGTTTGGAAGCTGCTGTGTGTGATGGGCACCGTCCCTGTGTGTCTGGTGTGTGTGATGGCAGCACCGTGCTCCTGCTCCATCCTCATGCAAGGGGAAGAGGCAGGGCCTGACCCTGAGCATCCCCCTCGCTGCCCCCTCCCAGCTCGCCCAGAAATACGACCCACAGAAGGAGGCTGAGCTGCGGACATGGATCGAGAGCGTCACGGGGCAGCAGATCGGGCCTGACTTCCAGAAGGGGCTGAAGGATGGGGTGATCCTCTGCGAGTGAGTCCTCATCCAGATGGGGATGGGGGACCCTTGGGTGTGCTGGATCCAGCCATGCTGGTGGGACCCATCAGGGATGCTGGAGAGGGGGGGACTGCAGTGACAGGACAAGGGGTAACGGGTTAAAACTTAAACAGGGGAAGTTTAGATTGGATATGAGGAGGAAATTCTTCCCTGTTAGGGTGGTGAGGCACTGGAATGGGTTGCCCAGGGAGGTTGTGAATGCTCCATCCCTGGCAGTGTTCAAGGCCAGGTTGGACGAGGCCTTGGGTCAGATGGTTTAGAGCGAGGTGTCCCTGCCCATGGCAGTGGGGTTGGAACTGGATGACCTTAAGGTCCTTTCCAACCCGAACCATTCTATGATTCTATAACGGCAGCCAGGGTGACCCCCAAAGCACCCGTGCTGGGGGAGCCCTGGGACCAGCAGGGACGTGGGGAGAGCTGGGTTGGACCTTCCTGAAAGGGGCCTGTGCCCCACTGCAGCCCCGCTCCCCCTCTGCCTCCCTCCCTCCCTCCCTCCAGGCTCATGAACAAGCTGCAGCCCAACGCGGTGCGGAAGATCAACCGCTCGGCTCAGAACTGGCACCAGGTAGGGGCAGGCAGCCCATGAGCCCCCGGCCCCAGTGCTGTCACCCACAGGGGGTCTCAGCCCTCTCCCCTTGCCCACAGCTCGAGAACCTCTCCAACTTCATCAAGGCCATGGCCAGCTACGGCATGAACCCCGTGGACCTCTTTGAAGCCAACGACCTCTTTGAGAGCGGGAACCTGACGCAGGTTCAGGTGTCGCTGCTGGCACTGGCGGGCATGGTGAGCACATGGGGGTGAGCGGCCTCGATGGGGGCACTTGGGAAAGGTGGGAGGTTGGGGTCTCCCCATCCTTCCTCATTGCCCTTCCCCGGCAGGCCAAGACGAAGGGGATACAGAGCGGGGTGGACATCGGTGTGAAGTACTCGGAGAAGCAGCAGAGGAACTTTGATGAGGCCAAGATGAAGGCTGGGCAGTGCGTGATCGGCCTGCAGGTGGGATGCTCAAGAGGGGGAGAGGGTACCACTTGTATCCAACCCTCAGCACCAAGCATGGCCGGGGAGGCTTGGCTCCCCGACATGGGGCAATCTCGGCTCCATGTCAGCATCCCATGGCTGGGAGCCTGGGGAGGACTGGGGAGCGCTGGTTGTGTGCCCCAGGGAGGGGAAAAGGCACATGTGGGGCAGCTCTTGGTCCTCACTGGCCCCCTCCTTGTCAGATGGGCACCAACAAGTGCGCCAGCCAGTCTGGCATGACAGCCTACGGCACCAGGAGGCATCTCTATGACCCCAAGAACCAGATCCTGCCGCCCATGGACCACTCCACCATCAGCCTCCAGATGGGCACCAACAAGTGTGCCAGCCAGGTGAGCCACTGTGGCCACACTGGGGAGGGATACAGGGGAACCAAAGCCAAGCCCTGCTCCATCCTCTCCTCCCAGGTGGGCATGACGGCTCCCGGCACCAGGAGACACATCTACGACTCCAAGATGGGGACGGAGAAGTGCGACAACTCCTCCATGTCGCTGCAGATGGGCTCCAACCAGGGTGCCAACCAGAGCGGGCAGGTCTTCGGCCTCGGCCGCCAGATCTACGACCCCAAGTACTGCCCACAGGGCAACCAGGGTGAGGTGGCCAATGCCACGGGTGACCCGAGCGGGGACCCCCCTGGGTACCACTACTACCGCGAGGAGGAGGAGACCTACTGAGTGGGATGTGGCACAGCC